CGCTGGAGTAAAAAAATTAGGATACAAGAACTATATTTAAATTAAAATAATTTTAGAACAGAAGGAAATATGACGATAATTTATAGATTAATCGAACACTTATGATTTATGGGATGAAACAGGCATATAACTGAACGTTAGTAATTTACAGATTACAAATTAGGCTAAACAGTCTCCCAAAAACTAGCTTTCATTTTTTATCATGCCTTCCTCGTTCTTTTTTTCACAGTGCCGTTTGACTCTCAACCAATAGTTTTCATGCTCAAATCTCGTTCTAGCTAGTTCAGTTTGGGCAACGGGGTATTATAGATAACTTATATACTCAATGTTATGGTTCAAATCCGAGTACAGAGACTTGAACTTAATGAGTTACATCACTATATTCATGATAGCTGCTAAGATAGTGTTTTCAAAATAAAAAAGCTTCGTCATCCAAACTGAAATATATTCCTAATAGGATGAGAAGTCACCTTCAGTGTAAGATTATTAAGCAGGACCGTTTCATAACTAACTTAATAAATAAAATACTTGAACAATACAGTATTTCTAACATAACTAATTGCTGTGTGTATAAATTCAGTTTTACACAACGGTTAGAATCGTTGATTAAATGCTTTTGCAATAACAGCTGCTTGAAATCCCTTGAAATCTTTTACACACTGTGTTAATATCCGGGATCCAACATAGGTTAGTCAGTTTTTTCCTATCTATTTAAAAAACTTTATTACCGACACTAACTAAAGTTTAATTTTTTGATTGAGATCATGAATCAATTGATGTTAGACCACCGTTGGAAACCTGGAAGCACTGGACGGCCGTTTCGTCCTAGTATGGGACTCTTCAGCAGTGCGCATCCACGATCCCGCTCCCTGCGAGATTCGAACCCAGGACCTATCGTGAGGGAATTCTCGGAGTTCTAGTGAGAAGCCGTGACCAGTGGAGCTAATCCGTGTCGGGTAGAGACAGGTATCTACCTTAGTACAATGGAAGTTGGTTGCACAATTTCGTGGATTGGTTAATGTTAGACACTAACACCATTGGATGCCGGCTCAGTGGTCTAGTTGGTTAAGCGCCTGGCGCGAGACCGATAGGTCCTGGGTTCGAATCTCTCAGGGAGCGGGATCGTGGATGCGCATTGCTGAAGAGTCCCATACTAGGACGAAACGGCCATCCAGTGCTCCCAGGTTTCCAACGGTGGTCTAACATCAATTGATTCATGATCTCAATCAAAAACTTAACAATCTCCACAACCCCTATACTGATAAAGTTTAATTATCAGTATGGAGATTTGTGAGGATTGTAGTATTTTAGCAGTTGAATCTACAGTCAATCTAAGCTAGACCACCATCGAAAACCTGGAAGCACTGGACTGCGTTCCTTCCTAGTATGGGACTCCTCGGCAATGCTCATCCACGATTCCTCAAGGGGTACTCGGACCGTGACCAATGGAGTCCAGTCGGTATCGGGTAGAGATATTTATCCACCTCAGACGATGGATGAATGGTTGCGCAAGATCATGGATCGATTGAAGTTAGACGTTAACACTTGGTCGCCGGCCCAGTGATCTATAGGTTAAGCGAGGCCGAAAGTCCTAGGTTCGAGTACCGCGTGTGGGACCTTGAAGTTTAATTGTTAATTACAGTTTCTTTTTGCATTTTTCAGTTTGGAAATTCCGGTGGTCCATTGGTGAATTTATATGGTGAAGTTATTGGGGTTAACGCTATGGTGGCTGGTACAGGAGTGGGATTTGCCATACCTGTTGATCAAGTTCGAAAATTCATACAGTTAGCACTAAAAGCATCCTCAAATACTCGAAGCTCTTCCCCAGTATCGTCAGCATCGCCTACTGATCCATATATTTTAGCAGACAATCCAACCAATTCCGAAAGCGGAACTCAACGTCGATACTTAGGCCTAGTTATGCGAACGCTTACTCCAGAACTGGCTTTCGAATTGGCATCTCGGGGTGGACAACATTTTGTAGAGTTGAATGGTGTTCTGATTCATGCTGTATTGAGAAACTCCCCTGCCCAAAAGTAAGTTCGCATCACTTTGAATAAATTGCAGAAAATCACTTATTTTGCATCAAAAAGAAATTATGTTGTCAAAATGTTTACAAACCATTATTATCACACTTATTTACAAGTCAATAGCTTAGAACTATTAACAATCTTCTTATCATGACTATTATTATTAAGAACTACAAATTTGCTAACACTACCAAGGTTCGATTAAAAGTTTTTGATTATCATGATACTTGCATTTTGAATTAAAATTTTTAAACATTATTTTTATACTCAAGAAACAATGCTCTCTGTAAAACTTGTCATGTGTGGAATCTATCTAATTATTTGACGTTCGGTCCTCCATAAAGAAACTTTGCTTCTATGTAGGTTTTAGCGAGTCTTAAATACAATTCAATATGGGCTTCTTTTTGCCACTTACAAATCTCATTAAGTAGATGGAGTGGTTACTGTTGTCCTTTAAATCACCGTTCAGTAGAGTAGTAACACTGAAGATATAGTTCTTAATCAATGTTACAAAACTCTTTAAAAGCTCAAAGTGATAATTTTATATATATTCCTTTATTAACTCTTATGAATAGCTTTAAAAAATTACAAACACATTTAAAGGATGTTTAAATTATCTCTAAAAAGCTTGTTCTTAACTAATTTCGCAAGTACAATTTCAGCCTCCCATTTACATTGTTATAAACTCACGATATACTCGTCTAGTTTACTACACAAATTAACCGATAATCATACTGACTTATAATAATTTTCTAATAAAAAAACAGATTTCACCTAAAGTAGTATCAACGATTCCACTATAATCGGCATTATTTCCTAATGTCTTTGAAGAGGAATTACTCTACATAAATTTAATATTTCAACAGAGTTTCAAACTATTATTTGTTTACAAAAAAGAACTCCGAGAAAAACAATCACATCCGGAAATTATCTATCAGTTGATTCTAACTCTATTTTAAATAGCAGATCCCTATTCAACAAGTGTTTATATCGACGACCCAGTTTAATACACTTATTTCACAATATACACTTATTTGTTGAACGTCGTTTATGCATATTTGTGGGTGGAATTTACTAGCTCAAATATCACACATATTAATACTTTATACAACGCAGCAACTCCACCATGATTAAGAAGCTCCATTCCCATTGTATTACAAGATTTGATCAGTTAGTCAGCCACAACGCAGGACCGGCACGTTTGTACATCGATCCAAATCGTTATACCCCATTAGCATAAAGAGAGGAAGTTGTCCGGTCAAATCCCAGAATAGTAGAGACGGTAACAGTCTGCGTGTTAATGGTGAAGATTACGCAACGATATGCTTCGAAAAATGTGTGGTGAAATGAAAGCACAAGACGTCTCGAGGAATTTACCTTCGAACTTTACGACCTCGTCAGTCGACTTGCCATCCTTACCTAGTGCCATATCCCTAACCCGGCTACTGCTTACTCCGTGGTCCCAAAATACACGGCTACTACTTCGAGGACACCTATGATCGAATACCAATATCCTCTATCCTTAATGGACATGTTTCATACCCATGAAGTAGGACAGAGTGAACTGCTGCACAGTAAACTCGTCCTTTGTTCGATAAACGGATATCTCACCTACACCAGTGACGCACGTCGACCAAACCGAACGAGCCTTCTGAACCCATGTCGAGATCTCGTCACACACTAGACCACCAGGACTGACGAGAATCCCAAGATGAGTGAAGTGGTCAGTGAGTTCAAATACTTCACTCCCTATCGTTAATTCGAGCGGTCACGCAATCCAATTCTAAAGCGACACTTTACATAATTGCATTGTTGCTTGAGGTGTTCGGAAGACTGTATTTTGTTAGTGTCTTCATCGAACAGTACTATATCATCTGCATTTTTTAAGTCAACAAGTAAACCTCCTAGTCGAACATCAATCCCTAAAAAGTCGGACGATGAAAGCGTTATCTCTAAAAGCAAGTTTACGATAAGGTTACAAACACCACTTGAAGTAACCAAATTCGATGACTTCGCCATAAGCTCTGACTCGACCAGTAGCGTTCGAGTAGTAGTGAGCATGTACAGTAATTCTTGCGTATGCGTTTCAGTGACAAACACTTCCAGAAAACCTCACGATTAACGGATCTAAACGTTGCTTTTAGGTCAAAGAATACAACCATAAGCGGACGTCGATAAATGAATTGAGCAGTTTGCGCGCTCTACTACTTCTTTCCTATCGTTAATCTGACGCAAACCAATCCTAAAGCGACATTTTCCATTCGGGAGGAGAGAAACAAACAATGGTCGGTATAATGATTCTAGAACGTGAGGTATATTAAAAGGAATAAAGAAAAAACAGAAACCTTGCACAGCGATTTTCTTCTGCTAATTAAATTTGTAATATTAATCTCTAGTAAATGAGATTCAGCATAAATTTTATGCATTTATTTTACAGGGCAGGACTAAGAGCTGGAGATGTAATTGTTGCCATTGATGGTCTACCTATAACGAATGCTCAACAAGTTTACACTGCAACTGAAAGCCGAGAACAACTGACAATCACTATCGTCAGACAAGGAAAACGAATAACCATAGATCATATTCAGACGGAAAAAATTTAGAACATTAATTAGATCCTTGATTTAAATTATTTTACACACAGTATATAATTCTGTATTATACATACACGAGTATTTATAATTAAATCATGCACAATGCTACTATCTCTTTTCTATTTTGCATTCTTTTACATAAGATACCTTGGAAGCAAAATACACTTGCTGCTTCAATACATTGTATTTAAATAGAACAATAATTAAGGTATTTTGAAAATAAAATGATTTTTATTCCAATGTATTAAGACAGATTATTAGGTATATATATATATATATATATATATATATATATATATATATATGCCGGCCAAGTAAATCAAGTGTTTGTGAAAATATCAACTAACAAGGATAGAGAAAAAGAGAATAAATCAAGAAGACAGAAATGCTAAAAAGAGAAAATTCTAAAGTATATTATGCTTTTTTTCATTTTATTGATTGCATTATCACATCAATACAATGGAATGAGCTGCAGAACTAGTTTATCCCTGACCATCAACGCACATCTATCATATTTAGCTCGACTTTAAATGAAACATAAGGAAAATAGTCCGATGAAGCCCCGAAACTCCCAACATTCATATCTTCCTGTAAAGAGATATTCGCAGAGACGAGTAAAGTTCAACAAAAGGGAAGTGTGTATTTAAATTAACGTTTTAGCAAAATTAATGTAAACAAATGAAATTATGAACAAAATAATTGTCACAGTAAACATGTTTATCTTTAAACAAATAGCTACTTTTGCGGAGGGGGGAATGACGTAGGTTATTGTACTCAAAACAGATCCTCTGTACGTATTTCGCGGAAAACTTTAATTTGCTATGCCATAACAGATTTTCTGTTGAACATGTAGACTTCAGTAAACATCATTAGAATTTTTTTGAAATCCATTCTACGACCAAAACTACATTGTGCATTCCTGAAATATCATTATTATACATATGCGCCACATAAATCTCGTTTGATTTGTGTGAGGGCTGTGATACTACCTGGGCGCTGAAATCGAAGTAGATGGTTTTCTTGAGGGGCCACACCCCGAGCCTTTGACCTAAAGGTCTGATCCACAAGGCAGTGGGGCATCGTGAGGAGATGCAGTCCCGTGGTAGCCGGTAACCAACGATTGATTCATTTGTTCCCTCAGGATACTAGAGCGCATGTGCACCATTGGTTTTAAATCAGGGTTTTCCAACTCCCCTAGGTGAATTCGCCGGCCCGGTTAAAGCGCCGGACATTCGCTTTTCGTTCTCTCATTTTCGTAAACAACACTCCTGCCACGAGAAGGCAGTGAGTAGGACTTCCCTTGCAGTGGCTGTATACGCGTGGCCATGTGAAAGCATTTCGAGAGGAAGTGATGACTCTTCCCACCCTCGGCTGTACCAGGGCATTCCTGAAATATAGGCTAACCAGTGTCTATATCTCAAGCAAAACCAACCACACCCCTCATTTTGTCTGGAAAAATATACGATTGGAATATTTCAGATCCGTACTTGTTGAGATTCACATTTATTACATTTCAGTTTAAAAGTCTTTGTGAAGACGTATCCAATAGCCTTCCCTATTAACCTTGGGGTATTGAGATAAGAACAGACTTTTTGGTCCTATTCTAGAACCTTTTATTTAAAATAATAAATATATATTTTCGTTATATCCCAATAAGTAGAAAAATTGTATTTCTGACGTTTTGCGATGATGTAATCCACTTCTTATATTAGAAATATATATATAAAATTTTTCTACTGATTAGGATATAAAAAAAGCATTTATTATTAATTCTACCCAGTGCTCAATTTATTTGAAACTCAAGTCCAACCTTGATATGATACCTATAAACTCATTAATAATCTTTTATTTAAATATAACTAATTGAGAAAAGGTCATTTACGACTGAAAATCTAACGCGAAAATTTACTTTCAAATGTGCAACAAACACTTATTTTGTGTGTAACAGTTAACCTGTATAAAAGAAACTCATTATCGATAACACCGGAACACATATTGTACAGACACAGGAACAGTGTTTTATATCTCCCACCCCAATACTACACTTATAAATGCAAACATATCAATTACGCACAAGTTTTTATGCAATTACGAACAATCCTGTTATGTGCCACAGTAATAAATATACGAATAGATGTTAATGCTTACATCTAAGACGGAGCTTGAAGACGATCCATCCAGATGGTTGTAAAGTTGTTTTAATATATCTCTTAATTTCTTTTGCTGCTTTTTGTTTGGCTCAAGGAGTATCGCTTGAAAGTCAACCGGCAATCCATATCTACAACAAGACGGAAAATTACTTCAGAATTAGCATATGATGTAACAGAACAAATTCAATGCAGCAGGATTACCACTTATTTGTACATCCGGATACAAAGCAACAGAAATGTCACATTTAAAAATACTTTGGTTAGGTGTTCACCTTTAAAAGTACATTTACTAGTTGTGCAAACATGTTGAGATCTTGAAAATAGATATCCTTATTCAATATTGTTGTTTCATTCACTTGTAAAATCAGGATTGCAGTTCAGCTTTGGGAAATATAATGACAGGTATTTTCGCTGGACAGTAACTCTTGTGCCCTTGTAAGATACCTTACTTGCTTTTCGTAATAGTTCACAATAGTGATATCACAAGGATTGTAAACTTGGTGTGAATTCCATTCCACTTAATGACGTTCGTTTCGCAATATAAGCTCCCTCATGAGTAACTCGTTATTGCAAAAGCCTTTACACGGTTATGGTATCACCTCTATTTTGAAACTCCAAATCGTGACTACTACAAATAAATGCTTATATTGTCTAAACTGTTTCAGATTTATTTTACTATAATTACAAGTGATTTGACCACAATCAAAATATTTTATTCAAAACATGAACCGTAAGCACTCCACATGTTTGCTACCTATATCAACTGGGACTATCTGAGCCACAATAAAGCAACTTCTTAGCATGATCGTGAATATTTCTCCACCAGACTTGACGATTATCCGCGAAAAGTCCATAAAACCATTAGGATAAAGGATACCGTAAATCTATTATTTTAGTTCTGAACATTATTTCAACTAGTATAGTATGCACCACTGACAAATACTCAGTATAGATTCTGCCAGATTCCGATCTCCTAGATACGGTTACATTTGTTACTCAAATTAGACTTAATTTTTCAATTTTGTTTACAACTGAAAATTAGTCTCGAGATGATGGTAAGGAAATGTCTTTGCAACGTATGTATTTTGAGATACTATATACTTAAACGAACCTGGACACTGGGAACCACTAAATGGGATTACGAACACACCACATTTATCCTTAGATCATTGACAGAAAAATATCATACGACAGTTGGAAGCCTTGATCAGAGTAAATTTATCTAATCACTATCATTTTTAGTACCACGTATTTACCCCAATAATGTTTATTATCAGTATAATCACTTTTAGCTCGTTTCAACTGCTTCCTATGCCACAAGACAACCATGGAAGTACTTTCCATCACTTAACCTTTCAGATTGAAATAAAATTAACAGGGTTCCATATGCATTTTAAACGATCATAAGGTGACATAAAATAACTACAAACTAAACAGGTAGTAGGTAAGTTGACGAAAATAAAACTTCTTACCTTAAAACTGACTCAACAAATACCCGGAGGGCTTTAATATGAACCATAGCAGAAAAAGCCTCACCAAAATTAACTTTCAACCAACGAAACAGAGGTGCCTAGTTAGGAATTTAAAAAAGTTATGCACTGAAATCAAGATGATTGGAAAAAGTATCATACTGTAGACAATCAAGGTACAACTTAGCCATATGCAACGAACCAGGGAAAACAACCTTATTTTGAAAGTAACTTGTTTTGTTATCCATCCCAGTGATTTTCAATTAAGTACAATCGTGATTCTCGTTACTGCCTTTTAATTGGTAGAAAAACGAGATGTTTGTTTTGATCATTTGGCTTTCCTTCATTAAGTCATATTCTGACCAACAGACACGCATCACTTGTGACTGGAAAGAACAAAATGGAGACAGTTTCTTGTCAAACGCTTGTAAACGACTACTAAAGACATAACGAGAAGCGTGATTATCTGTCTTCAATATTTGGGATTATGTTCCAAGAAATGTTGGTATGATGACGTTTAAAGAAATGCATATGGCTCAATATATTTAAAACCGAACAGTTTACTGACTTTAGGAAGGAAATATTTATGTGATAAAAATTCCATAAGGCGGTATTAATAACAAAAATAAACCGACTTACAAACTGTCTTTTTTTATCGGACTCAAGTTTCGACAGCTCATTTCTACTTTCCTCAATTTTCTTCTCATCATAAGTAAAATCACGTACAACAAACCTAAGAGTTGGTTTTGAATATTTAAACAAACCTAAATTCACGAGCCTGAGTTTTAAAATCATCCGTCATTTTTTTGAAGAGCGTAACAGTCCACAGGCCATTATCTTGATCTTCAAAAATAAGTCTTAATCGGTTACAAAAAAGGATTGCAAATTACTCAGACGATTTAGGAACGACCATATCTGTCATTCTTTCATAATTAGATTTCCAATCATTATACATATTCCTGATAATAAATATATCAAAAAAACTTACTTTGGAACAACAACAACTAGAGTAGTCAGGTATTCCGAATCAACAATAAATTGTTCTCGCTTCACAATATCTCCAAGCTCGCGTGTTAAGAGACTACCCCTAAAGGAATTTAAGCCAATTTAAAATATACTGCTTACGTCTGCTTTCGTTCTAGATTTTGAAGACAGCCTTTTAAGGTATTATATGACTGAGACTTTGCTTTTAAATCAGAATCTATTTTAGTAAGTTGCTATAAATAATATTACTTGGCGTGAAATAAAAATACCTCTGAAATAATAGCATATAGTGAACTTAACGTTTGTTTGACTGGATATTTAGCATAATCCCACTGGAATTTGGTGAGGAACGCGGCAGGAGAAACTGAGGATATAAATATGAGAAATAGAACATACGTCCATTTACCGTCAAGTTGTCTTCCAACTTGTGTTTTTGTTCTTCGAGTACATCGCCCATGTACTGGGCAACTTTCTTGGTAATACTTGAGCTGCTATTTGAACCTATTAGACAATTACCTCTCGGCATACACATCTAATTTTGACAGCTCATCAGAAAGACCCACTAGAATATCCAGCGTTCCCACCTAAAGATTCTAAATCATCTGACATCTACACAAATACCTTAAAGTCAGGAGGAATATTGAATTTGTTGATCTGCGAGCAGATATCCTTATATTTAGACAATGTGGTTTGAAGACGCTGATACACCTGATTTGGATCCCGCTCCCCAGGTACAGATATTATCCAGAACTCCGTCATTCGACTAAGCTCAAATCAACCACTACTGTTGAATATCCAATGTCTTCCAACACCTCTGTGGCGAGTGAGTGTAAATCAATTTACTTCCTAACTCTTAAGTCTTGAAACTAACTGATAGTTCCTGACTGCAAAAATATTTACTTATGGAATCTATAGATCTGATTACGGCTGGTTTCCAATATCTTCGTCATCAGCTTGTATTTGATTACATTGAGCTCGTTTCTTGTTGTTTCGGTACGATTTCAAGTATTTGATGGTGTCCAATATGTGGCAGTCTATCCACTCGACTGCACTAATTCTAATCAGTGAATTGTTTTTTTGTGGACTTTTATATCTTGTTGTTTGCCAGGTCGGACTGATCCTGTATGACAGCAGCTGTGAGCAAGTACACCTTTGTCCAGCCCCCTCTTGGAGTGATCCACTGAAGTGGACTGTGGTCAATTTGACTGGAATAAAATGTCAAATTGAGGTCAATATTGATGAGAAATAGTGAGAGGGTACTTAGTTGTTCGCTCTTTGACGTGCAATCTTCTGAAAGTTTCCTCAAGGAGCATGGTTATGATAATCTGGTTATATGCTCGCGCTAGGTGGCTTGTCGTTCTTAACATATTTTATGCCCTTATCAGATCACCTCTTATCCTCCTGTAGCTCAATGAGAATAATATCAGTGTATGGCGCTTGTTGTCGTAAGATTTATGTTTAGGACCTATCACCCAATTGGTTATCCGTCCCCGTAATTGTCCAAATTTAGGTCTCTTTGAAAAAAAGTGGACACAACGATATTGTGGAATTCAAGATGAGGTTGTCCATACGTTTTAAACAGTGTTAGGAATAACTCTGGGATGATCGCCCAAGGGTAACTTTGCATAAACTGAAGATTCGTGTTTACCCTAACGGAATTCCCTTTGTTGTTTGAGCTGCCGTCCAACCTATCTGTGATTGCCAGCCCGAGATCACAAACAAAGGTGGAATTTTGAAGCAATTTTTCATAAGGGGTGTAGGCTTTTTGTGTTAAATGAGGCAGAATATTCAATATATGACATTTCGACAGTTTAAGTTGTAACCTATTGTTTATTGCTCATCCGTATATTTTTATATGGGGCCGTTTGAAGCTCAAGTGAATCTCTTATCAGTTTTCATGAACCTCCAGATCATCGCGTCATCTGCATAAATAAGTACCGCCGAATTAATTTTATCTAACAGGTTGTTAACAAAGATCCAAAACAGAGGTAGATCTAGGATTGTTTATCGCGATGATTCTGATTATGAGGTCTTCCAACTCGTTTGCACTCTACTTACCTTGGCATGAAGCATCCTGTTCTTCAGGTTGTTTCGGAGCCGGTATAAAGTGGATCTCAACGAACCTGAAAAATTTTTAATTCTAAAAAATAAAAATAGAGGACTGTTTTGAATTCTATGTACGAATTGGTAAAAGTGGTTTTCAAGTATTAGAAGATCCAATAAAGCGTGTTTGTTATTCATGAGTCTGTTGGAACAAAAGATTACTTCATAAAATTGACTCAAAGGATTTTAGGATACTCGGCGATAGTTATATGATATGTCCTCAGTAGGCTACAATAGTGTGTTTGGTCAGTGAAGAATTTCCGTCCGTCGTTGTGATCCGGAGCTCAGTGTTATTTCATTAGCTCAAAATATTTAAATGGTAAGGTTTCTGGACAATTTTCGTGAGAAAAGAGATATGTTGTATTCACTATTAAAAAGGTATGGATTCAATTCCAAGGATGTGTACACAAATCAGATATTACTCTGATGGAAAGGAAAGGATGTCGGTAAATGTCAAGTTTCCAATAAAATATATAAAACACGATTATTAACAAACTAGCTTGAATATGCCACAGGTATTTGTAGTTTCGCAGCACGTTAACCAGCTACACCTGTAGGATCCAAACCACGTTTGGACTGCTGCAGTTCTAAACAAATATAACCACACAGCTATCCAACCAATAATTGTTTAATTGATCAAATCTAAACAATCACCACAAATAAATGTTATTCTATCCTGTCTGGATAGATCACGTACAGATTCGTTCAAAAGGTAATAATTGGTCGCTCTATAACACAGAGTGTTTTCAATTCTGGAAGAGTGCTTCAATTCACAACCAAAATGCACAATTCCAGTCAACACAGGTCAAGCAATCAAAGGCAGGAACCAACCAAAATGACTGCCGCTCAGACTTAGTATAAAGTAAAACAACGTAAGTGCAGTTCGGGAAGAAACATGGGGAATTAGTGAAGGTGTGGTAAAAACAAAAACTATAATAAAATACAGAGATTAACAATTCAAATGTAGTCCAAAAGTTAACAATGTACAACTAAGAAGATCAATAGGAACAAAGTGCAAGTATATACATGGAGGGATTTTCACAAACACACAAGGCATTCAAAATGGATCTTACAACACCTTCTACATTGAATCGTACACACACAGTGAAATCAAAAGTCAGAAGGCAGGAGGTTCGAAGATGTATTTGATAGGCTATCAATATATCGAGAAGTGACTGATCTTAACTGGCTAGCGGTTGCAGGAGAAGTTGAACATGGAGTTCCCACTCGTGATCTGGTGCGGATGCATGACCGAGCGCCTTCAGCTAGGTGAGTCCATTAAAACTAATGCGGTCAGCATCCAATGTCGAAGACTTGCAGAGCTATTGATTTTGGGGATTTATTTACCGCTACGAGCTATTTTCATCCTGTAGTTTTTCTCCCGAAATAAAAACGTGGACAGTTAGACGTAAAGTTGATGGACCTCTCCGTGATTCATTCATTGGTGTTGCTTGTTGTAAAATGTCTGAATGCTCTTTCCAAATGTGCGCAGAAGACTGTTGGTACTTCTGTCAACTATGAAGCCAAACTCGTATGCCTGCCATTCTTGTCATATCAGTAACATCACTAAACGTAACAGTTCCTTAGGAATCTCTATGTATTTCACAAGCCTTATTTTTCATCGGCAGACCAAACATTATCCTCACTAAACGCTGATATCACTGAGATTCCACGGCAGATTGATTTTTAAGTAAATGTAGTATTTACGTCTGTTTCAAGGCTTTATCGTTGTCTTAGACCATGAATAAACTATTGTTATGAAGTTCAGCACATGGTTAGCGACTAAAGCATTATTCAGGGGAACTAGTAATCGTGCATTATCAGGATAAAGACGTCATTTATACGCGACATACGTAAACTCTACTGCCCGTAACTTCTTTTGGTGAAAGGATCCTGAAATGATGAGATGCCAAGATATATATGTATAACAGTTGGTGTATCGAATAGTATGAAAACTAATCTGACTAGCTGTTATAAGGTATGCTCAGCACAGCATAACCTAATGATCTGTGGCGGTGCTTGACTGAGCACTTTCAGACCAAGTTGGATCTACTCACTCTAATGATATCAAGGTCAATGTAAAATAATTACGAAGTTATTTATTTTGAAGATTTATTTACCGCTACACATACTTAATAGCATACGAAAATACATTGTAAGACGAATCGAGATCAATAAACTTGAGTTATCCCAAATTCTCAGCATACGTGACAATTTCATACTTAATGTCTCAAAAATACACTTCAATGTGTAAAATAGATTTAGCTTCGCGGTGAAAATAACCATAATTATTTCTGTCGACTATAAATATTCAGTTAACTTCGTAATAGAATATCTAAGAAAAAGATCACAACGTACGCAAACTGTGATAATTAGAAGTATTCTAATTATTATACGAACTCGGAATCCTAGAAACAGTGAAGTTTAATTCATAATGAACTAGGCAAGCACAAACGAATATGTTGTATTCAGAATTCGAAATCATGCACACATCGAGTATCGAAGAATCATTAGTTCATACAAACACCACACAAATCCATTTGAAAGGCGAGACTTTATAAGGAACAATTGCTTGTATTATCTGACTTTGTATGATAAAATATTCAATCCACTGATTCACAATTATTTCTCAGCACTTATTAAGAAATATAAGAAACAATCAAGGATAATAATATAAAACGAAACGCGTCGGATATTCACAGACTGTATTTCAAGCTATACATTAGGTTAGCGTGACAATGTTAAGTTTTAATCAACCCAACGTATTGGGCAACTAAAAGTGAATCAACCTCTAGAAATTTCAGCAATTTAAAGAAATATACAGAGTATTCTTAATCATTCACAATCTGTACAAACAAGCTAAACATATACAACTGGTAAAAATTTTAGGAGAAGTTCACTGATTGATGAGACAGAATCGCCACAAACTATTAAAATGGTCGAACAAAGTATGCACAGTTCTTTTGGTATACTCAAACATGACGAATAACAATACATCGTAACTTGATACACATGTACACCACTAACGTAGATGATCTATGTCGAATGATTGGAGGCCTACTCCAGTTAAACAGGAATAGTGTGACGAACCAACTAACTTTGATACCACACCTCGCGCTCAGCACCTAACATGGATTATCCCTTCGATATACCAAAATGCTACGGGGCGCTATGAAGAGCGTATAAGACAGAGGACGTTATTACGGGAATATATTAGTAAGAATGAGCACAGAGAAGATAGTGAGAATTTCGTGCTTATATGTAACCCTTGTTCTACTGATAGAAGAAACCAGACTAGTAGTGAATAGGTCCTTATTTAAATCGCGTGGCAGTCACAGTGGAGCCGGGAATTACCTGTTCAAACACACAAAACTCTTCAACATTCAATAAAAGATCATAGGGAATATAACGTCTATACAAAATAAGGAAGTGGATGAATAATTGAACTTTATTGTTTTGACAAATACTTAGTTGTTTGAGGTCGACTCTTAACTAAACAACTTAAAGGACCACCACCGCATGGGTCAGTCCATGGCATACGATTAACTGATGAGCGTTATTTGACCTTGACGGCAAATATTTTTCGCATCTGCTTGTTTCGCTTCACGATCACATCATCCAGGCAACCAGAAGGCCATACATATGTGTGTTGAAATTTCGTAGGCTGCCACATACGCATGCTCCCCAAGAAGGCTTAAACCTGTGTAGTCCTCGAGGTGTGTGAACGCCATGTAGTTGTAGTACTTAATAATGCATAAGATGTAGTAAATACAACTTTGCTAAAGAAATACTCCCAATTACTTTGGTAATAGAAATTATTCCTATATATGTACAACTGTTTGACCAAATAAACCAAAATATAACCGCACTTACTGACTGCGATACACTTAGAACGTGTAGTATATCGTCACCTTATTGTCTCGTACTTTTGACATGTAGGCTTGAAGAATTACGGAATCTATCACCAGGTAAACTATCCCGTTACCTCTTTCACACACAATCAATAACCTCTTTACTTCTGGAAAATAACTAAAAATCTATATTAACTCATGAACCCACCGTAAACCTAGGGTTGTGTATGTTCATCAGTAACACTTAGATTACAAAATAAAACAAATGGCTACAATTTTCAGTGATTTTTCCTTATTAATCAGTCTGAGTAAATTGTCCAAAAGATCAGTTTCATCTGAATAACCTCATACTGTACTTGAGATGTCCTTATGGAACTGCTGATACATATCTGAAAAAAACCCAGTATTCTAAACGTTCTTCACACTGGTGTTCACTGCACTAATCACTTAAGGAAATCTATTTAACAGAAATACAATCCGCCCGAACAGTATGGATTGTCAAGTATAGTTCTCTACAGTTAACTGACTTCGTGTCTCAATTCCATGAATCCTGACAAGTGGAAAATTAATTGTGATCAATTAGTCGCAATCACTTCCAGGTGTGACTCTTTTATGAACCTAAAATACTTTTCGAAAAATCTCGGTGCTTTCAAACTAACTTATTAACTACAGTTTCATTGGTAAATATGAAAGCTGAATATATCACCTATTGACGGTAAAATCAGATACTTTTGGACCCACAGAACGACTTCATTAACAAAGCTAATCATAAAATCCACAGCATAGTTTACTTTGTCTAATAAGAGCTTAACAATTCTGTCCAGTAAACAATGAAACTAGTTTACCGATTTCGGTACATACGTGAAATAGTAGAAGTTCCGAACAAAATTGCGAACATCAATCGTTAGACTCGTCACTTAATTTACAACGACTGGTTCTAAAGTTCAGAATGCTGGAGAACTATCTATTTTCCATTTTTTGAATTGAAATCTTCATATATATGTTTACGATTAGCGACGGTAAGTCAAAATTTAAGCATTATGACTAACATCTCTATTCATAAGATTTTTGAAACTGGCACGGCTCAATTAGGCAGTAACTGCAGTAAGTCGAAAAGATACTCCTCTACCCACCTGACCCCCAACGAATGCTTCTCACCAACTATTCTTGATTAAACAAATGAATGAACTCCAACACACTGAGATGTATAAATTTTTAATTTAAAAAAATAAATCATAACACAACATTTTATTAATGCATGAAGTACACATGCGATACACATACGCATGGTAGGTAGATAGGATTAACAAATCCCCTTATAGTTCAAAGTTAGCAAAACATTTATATAGTTTGTTCACTTTACACCTTTTGATTAATTTTGATAGGAAAAGTGTAGTATCATGAAGATCTGGAAGAGAAATAGTTAAACAGAAGGGAAAAACAAAGTCAACTATATTTACATGTTAAATAGCAATGTTCTTTTTTATAAATAATTAACATCACTTTAAAGAAAAAAAATTGCAAATTATATTGATCATGTTCATGAAAAAAAAGAGCTTAATATTTATTTCATTAAATCGACATTCGACAGAGAATAAACTCTTACATTTCATTATAGCTAGTAATTACTCTAAAGGTGCTATTATCAGTTTACTGTTACGAAATTTGAAGACGATTAAACAGATCAGAATTATTAATTTCTGATCTATTTGAGAGTAAACCAGAGAAATGTGCTTAGATATATCTAACTTTCAAAAATAAACTCATGAAGAAAAAACAATAAACAAAAATTTGTCATACAGCTTAAATAACTTGTTTGTCGAGCAAATACCGCATGCATGTAACAAGATTTCGGCAATCAACTTTCATATTTCCGATAAATTCCAAGCTAGTATCATGGATTAATTCGCAATAACTGAATCAAAAAGCCTAATCTGTTATGCATATCAATATCAGAGCTGCAATCATAGTGAAGTTAACTAATTTTAAAATTCTGAAACTTTCACGTATCTGTCTGTTCTGTCATATAGCTAACCAATATGAACTCCAAACTTTTTTACGAGCAAAATTAATCCCCACGTTATTATGTTAACTACACTCATGTAAAAGTATAAAACATATGCACCATACAAGAACATACATACTGCTACATAAAAGGGCAGTGAGTCAGTCTTAAGTAAGTAAGTAACTTCTGCCGTTGGTCAATAAAAATTAGTCAACTACATCAAGTGCAAGAAGCTGAAAGTACCTTTCTCAGTGCTGGAATTTTTATTTTAAGTTGTACATTATTTACAAATGAAAAGCGAAATTAATGCAACGGCAATACTTACCTCGGATTGAGACCCGAAGCAACAAGACTGGCGGCGGCAGCAAGCCTGGCATGTACGCTATCGAAAGTACTGCTGGATACACCAGGGATACAACCGCTGGTTGCAGGTGAGGGGGAACTGACTGTCTGGCCTCCTGAGCCCGAAGTAGAATTATTAGTACAATTGCCTGAGGTTGCACTCGTTGAAGACCCAGTCGTTGTACCTCCTAAGGATCCGGTTACGCCAGCCAAAGATGCAGCGTGAGGAGGAGGGAGAGGAAGGCCTAAACCAGCGGCTAATCCGGGAGGAAAGAAGTTGGCGTACGCTGAGACAGGAGGAAGGCCAGCTAGATGAGCTGCGGCGGCCGCGGCAACGGCAGGAGGGGGAGGGAGGGCTGGGATTGTTGTTGGACCACCACTGTTGGTGAGAATACCTCCACCACCGGCATTTGACAGACCTATCCCTGAGCCACCAATTAGGTTAGCAGGGAAGGGGAGACTGTTAGCACCTACCCCAAGACCACAACCTCCACCCGCGGCAGAAGAGAAAAGACCTGCTGAGAGACCGAACGCGGCAGCTGCAGCTGCTGGATGCAAACCACGTGCGGCGTTTTCTAATCCTGAAGCTACACTACTATTAAGGGCATTAACACCAGGTATACCTGCTCCAAGAGACAGATGATTGTTATTAACCAGGGGATTATTACTGATATTATTGGATAGACTGTTGTTGGAACAACCGTGAGAAAATAATGACGAACCACCATTGGGCATAAATTCTTTGTTGACGCAGTTTCGAAGACAGTCTGGTATGCGATTTAAAATAGCTCTTCGGATTTCATTTGCAGCTGCCTCGCGCATTTCACGCATACTTGATTCACTGTAAAATGCCATATGAGGTGTTACAATAAGATTTGGAGCATCTTTTAAAGCACCTGTAATAATAAAATATTTACATAAAATGAACTCAAAATTTACTTCAGTTTGAAGTAGAATGAATTTTCAAAGTTGACAGAAATTTAGATCGAACACAATTACACACTTTATTCTTAGATTCTAGTACATTACATTCACGTATGTTTACGACCTTTTCCCGTCCAATTCGCAAGAAACAGTTTTATTCTGTTAGACACATATAATACTATTGTTTATTCGTATACATCAAATAGTCTAGTTTTGATTCAAGATAGTCCCTATCGTAATAAACATTTCAGGAATAAAATTGGCAATTCGGAAGTAGGTCGTTATCCGGACAGTCTAACAGCAATATTTCAGACTTCACTGGATGATTTACATCCACATAAGAGACAGAATAAGTGTTCCTTGTTGAAATGTGAAGTGAAGAAGTGTCTCAGTGAGTAGGGTATTCGACTTTCAATCACTAAGATGGAGGTTTGAACTTCGGTTCGTTCACTTTGATTTAAACAACCGAGTAGCATCACAATTTCTCGAACTTTAAGCACGGCTCAAAGCCGATTACACGTATCTGTACTACGTAAAATGAACTAAATAGCTCATAGTTCATAGCTTGGTGCCGATTACTCCCAATACTCCAACAACATATACAACCGGTTTATTATGACATAATAAAACAACACAATTCCCAAAAACCTATCACTGATATAAAGCATTGGGTCAGTCATTATTTTTGACATTAATTTAACTGCAGAAGTCTCAACAGTACATGTATTATATCAAATTATATAGCAAAAAACTTACTATTACTCCAAACAAATGGTTCTGTCTCTGTTACATCCAATGCTGCAGCACGTATTCGACCTTCCTTAAGTGCAGCAGCAAGGGCTACTTCATCAATTAAACCACCTCGAGCAGTATTGATTAAAATGCACCTAAAAAAGGAACAAGGTTTAGGCAATCGCTCCACTGATAGGTAAAATATTAACAAGTGAGTTTAGAAAGTAACTGCCTTTTTATCACCTTTTCTTTTTCTATCATCAAATTCAGACTGATAATTAAAATTTAGTTATTGCGGTGCATTGTTAATCTGGTAGTGAATTGTAAATAGTTTAGAAATTCAGTCAGCGCATCTGAGAAATATATGGAACGGATAATGTCCTCACACTATATAAGCACGGTGGGATGAAATTATTAGAACAAATTCCAGATGAGTAGTAGTAACACAACCAGTAGTTGTAATGTAGTGAACAGAACACGGGTAGGGACAATCGAATGTATTTAGTACGAAATTACAGAGTTACTTGGTAAAATAGAAAACCATATAGTAAATCGTTAATTTGCAAAATATCAGTCCATCATATCAACCTGGAATGTTCCTGTTGCAAACATCAATCCATTGTCTCACACTTCATTGTTCATGCGTTTTCTCACAAATTGCATTGTGTTCTCGCTCTTCCTTTCTTGATATTCCCCCATCTTCTGCTCCCCGACATTACGTTTTTAACTCGCGTCATATACCACTTACATCAATATAAGTAGCACGCGCCACGGTAGTGGTAGCAATAATAATAGTAAATGACTGATTGTAAATGATTGGTTCACGCTGGCTGTGTAACCCCGTTTGAACTAAATGAGCTAGGATAGAACTATTGATTGTTTTAACTACTAGTTAGCTTGGACACTCTGGAAAGTATTCGCGAGCATTTCCCAGTGCAACTTGTTCTATAGGAGTTGAGTGAATCGATACAAAGAAGGTGATTTCAGTATAGTTTGTTATGATGCAAAATTATAGAAGTCTGTTTTCAAATGTAAACTGACTAATATGTTATCACAATCAACAAAATTAGTTATTTATCTCTCATCCGGGTTTACAAATAAATCACTTTAAAAGCAAAACAACAATCAAGAAATGATTGTTCATATTATGACGGTAAAAATATGAAACCTATTTTCTGAATGAAGCCAAATATTTGAAAAGAATACGCAGAAATTATTAATTATGAAAAGTAATACTATATTATGTTATCTCTAATATAAATGATAATTGATACTTCCATTTTAAAAATCATACATTTATCTACATATTTGAGCACATATCGGACTTAGCCAGTTACAATGTACTGCGGCACTTTTCATTTAAATATATATACTATTGAAAGATAGAGTTGATTTAATAGGATTTATTTAAAATTTATTGCATTTAGTTTAATTTCATTTAGTAATTTTTTTAAATCCTGTAAATCAGGATTAAATCACGATATGCTACAAAAAATAATTTATTTGCACTGTATATTTAACTTTTTAGAATACATCAACATTCAATGGTTGTAGTTGCCTGACGAAATCTTTCACTCCATCATCCAGCATCCAGTCGTTGAATTTTGATCTTATTTACTATAATAATTTTTTTTAATGAATTGTTGATATACTATATATATATTCATAATATCGATGTCGTTGGGTTCTCTGAGCTAGACAGTTTAATTGCGATACTTTCATTGTCACTCAAAACCACATCATTAGCTCATACTTCATGTAGAAATGAGCTTTATAGTTAACCCACGAGTTATAAATCAGTTCGTTCCGTTGCCCTTGTTTGTGATTGGTTATTGTCATAGGCTGTTTTCAATATTTTCATTTGTCCCTGCATTCAAATCGACTATTTTTTTCTGTCGATCTCTGACCATGTCAATTGACATTCTTCGAATGGGTTGACAAATTAAGTCTAATTCGACGTGCCCGTTAAAGTGCTAATTGATCTGAACGTCATGATTCCAGAAATTCCCTGACATTACTGGAATACTTTCGATTCAGAATTCTGATGTATTCCCAGTTGGATTTATGCCCGTCGTTGTCTACATCAACTTATATCAATGAAAGGTTTGAAATAAAACTATCTAGCGCAGAGAAATTTAAAACACAAAAATTATTCAACTGAGCTGAAAAATATACACATCATTTCAACATCTATATTGTGAATATCTTACCCGGTCTCATTAACTTTATTGTATGCTCATTGATCATATGGCGATTTTGCTCATTAAGTGAGCAATGCAAAGTGACACAATCACTTTGAAATAGTAGATCTTGAAGACTGTAAACACGTTCGATACCCAATGATCGTTCGATCCCATCTGGAAGATAAGGATCGTAAAATGTTACATGAAATCCAAAAGCTTGGGCTCGTAATGCAACAGCTGTTCCAACTCGACCTAGAAGTAAGCAAAAACAAATAGATATGGATAGATAGACCGATTAACACGTATACAATTAAAAGTGTTAAACCTATGTAAATATCTAAACCGCTGTAACAAAATATGTGCCTCCAGACAAGACACAGTTGAAATCCTCTGAAAACAATAACGATAAATCAAATAAAAATTATTTAGATTAACACAGAAGTTTCACTTCTGGATGCATCTCAATGATGAACGATTATACATGATATTACAGATCAAACAATACTAGAAATGTTGTTATGCCACAAGAATGAAACATAAGAACGCATCATTAATAATCTGTATTCTTTATACTAAAAATGGATGGTCAATTATTATTCCATTCACGTGTTAAATAGTGACTGCAATGAGTATAGATTAGACATGATTAATCAACATACACATCGATATAAAGTAGTTTTGAAAGCAATTACGTACCCAAACAATAACATCTTTATTAAAACAATTCGCTGTTTTTACTCACTATTCCTAAAATTAGCGAATTTTTAATGAATCTATAGGACGATATAAATGAGGTTGATGGGGAACCAAATATTTGTGACAAAAGTTGAGGCAATGATCTGTCAATATCTGAATCTTGCTATGATTAAGATTTTGTTTATCTTATAGTTATCATGATCACTACAAGACAAAAACCACTCAACCAAACAAGACTGTATCTACTACAGATAGTGCATCGATTTAGATAATTACGTTATGTAATGGTAAGGAAAATAATAATAATTTAAAAATACTAAACTTTACAAAGATTTAAGTGGAAATGGAACAATAAGTGCAAAGTTACATGTTTAACACAAACAGAAAAAAACAGTACATCCGTTTACAACATTGTCAGTAATTTTAAATGTTATTAAGGAATTTAAACTACTTGTCTTCATCATGAGAAAGACCCCTAAGAAGGTAACAACGTGAAACGTTAATAATTCTGTATTATATGCTTATACATCGAATGATTACATTTATTGTAGTGTTCACACTGAGATAACAGCAAAAGTAACACAACTAGGAACTTGTGTATTACTCGGAAGGCTTAACGGAATACAAAAAGCCTATCTGTTTAGAAGACTGAAAGCATGCAGAGAAAGATGTCATCATATTTCAACAAGCAATAAAAAAGTTAGCTTGAAATATCACCATAATACATCAAAATCAGTTGATATACATTGGCTTTTAAAACGATTTTATGAGAAAGAGTAGGAAAAGACATCTAACAGACGTCTGATAAGTAAATGCACACAACAAAATTGATTTGTCCATCCATGTGTTTGTTTTCAATTAGATTTATTTGATCTGCCTAGGTATAGCTGTGATAACCATGTATCAAGCGGTATAATACAAAATAAGATTGGCAGCCCAAAATCATCCAGCTGTAGCTTACATTCAGTCACATTCACGTATATAGTACATTCGTACTTTCAATCAATACTCAACAAATACCCCGAACTTACTCGAGCAATAGTAAAATTACTGTATATAATCAGTAATGAAGTACACCTTATCTCGACAAGGCAACCTGTATTCTCAAAACCACTCCGACTAGCTCCAAAAAATCTAAGAATGACGAAATAGGGATTCGACTAAATATTGAATTTCGGAATCTTCATATATATTTTTTCCAGTACGACATGAAATGAGGATAAAGACAATTGGAGAGTAAAATTGTACTCAGTTATTGATTATCTATATTCACCATATGGTACCCTAATATAAAAGTAGATACACGAATGCTGGGCTAATAGAAATGTTAACTAACGATTAACTTCTAGCTAGGAACATAAAACTGGTCTCACGACCCTATCACATAGAATTTAGCTTAGTAGACGATCGATAATTTTCCTGACCTTGTTAATGCCAAGGGACACTTTTAGCTGAAAACGTTCAGCTAAGCATCCATACAATTTCCAGGTACGCAACACGTGGGATGCCTTTCTCATCCTCTAGGTACCATATTCGTCCACAATTATCTGTAATCAAACATATGACTCTCGTTTTCAGCCCCTGCTTCGGTTTGGTCACCCGGGTAGTATCACAGCGCACACACAAATCAAGTGACTTGTATGGCGCATATGTATTCGGTATCCCTTTGTACCAATATTTATGTTCAAATAAAATAAAATAAATCGTTTTCAGTGTTAGGTGTTCAAATATTTGGTAACAGTATTATTAAATTATTCCGTATCAAGTCATTCATCAGGAAAGTTCCTCAACAAGCATTTTTGTGACTAGTTATTCATGCTATCTCCCTTTGTCTACCAAAAGAACGTACTTTATGAGGTCAATGGTTAGTATGATTATTGATGAAGCTGAGTAATTCTTTGTGATAATAACTATAACTCCAGCCAAGACACTTCCAAGATTAATCAAGCTGTTGCAAAAGTTCAGGTATTTTAATATTCAACTAAGTCTAAATAAATGTTTATTTCCTTAATATTACCAACATGAAGCCACGAGTTTAGAGCAAAGAAAACAGCGCTTTACTAGATTTTTCAAGGAAAAATCTTCAAAAGTAAATAAGATTTAGTCTTGACAAGCAAACCGAATTAATGTACCGCTTATTCTGATGCTAGATTGATTTAATTTCCATATTGAATATCTAAATGACTGAATCTACCTCACAGTTCAGGTGAATATCTAGATACTAATCTACTCTGAATTTATGAGGGTTAAATGTAAGTGATTTCCTATTCAAACCATAGTAAATCCAGAGATTTAAGTGTAATTGAATCTCAGAAACCTTATGCGAAAATATTGGACTTGACTGATAACCCTAGCGACAAGCCAACTACACTACGATCAGTTGAACCCGGATAAGCATGGTTTTTATATCAGTCAGTCAATATATCACGGTTTGAGAGAAGACAAAGAGTGTATACTTATATGCCGCTGTGGTCGATTCCGAGCCATGTCACCCAGTCTCCAACCACTGGTTACAATAGTCAAGCGGACCGCAACCAATTAGTCTGCATCTACCAACATGGCTCAGACCAGAAGTTAGTGACTTTGTGGACTGATGCCTCGTTCTGGTTTGACCACCCTAACTTTCTTCCAACCGTCTCGAGCACTAGTCAGCATTGCGCGTCGTGGTAATTGGTGTTCAGGCATACGCAACACATGGCCCAACAATCTCAGTCGATGAACATTCACAACCTAACCAACTGATTTACCATCATTCCCTGATACCATGCGTCTAACCCCGCTATTACTTACCCGGTGATCCCAGCAGATGAGAGCAATATTTCTAAGGCATCTGTGGTCAAATACTAGTAGCTTACGAGTATCTTCAACTCTTAATGGCCATGTTTTGCAGCCGTAAAGTAAAACAAAACGAGCTGCCGCGTAGTATACTCGTCCTTTAATTGACAGACGGATATCTCGACTTCGCTATAGGTGTCGTAAGTTGGCAAAGTCAAACGAGCATTTAGAATCCGTGCTGAGATGTCGTCAGGCACCAACTCATTAGAACTGATCAGATTTCCAGAATAAGTGAAGTTGTCGATGCACTTCACTCTCTATCATTAGTTGAAGTTTTGATGTAGACCAGTCCTGAAGCAACAATTTGCATTTAGAGGGGGAGAAACACATCCCAAACATCCTGGTATTGTTGATCACTGTTACCAGAAAACTGCATCTTATCAGCATCTTCACTAAACAGGACTATATCATATGCGTATTCCAAGTCAATCAGTGTGCCTTCTGGTAGGAGATCAATCGCCGAAAATTCAGTCGACGAGAAAGCTGTTCCCAGAAGTAGGTGTATGATGAAATTGAATAAAAATGAAAATAGTAAACAGCCTTGCCGAACACCACTTGAAGTTGCGAAATCAGTTCGTCATAAGCTTGACAGGTAGTGTTCGAGTTCAAGTTGCCAATCCACGTCAACCCAGACATGAAATTATCAAGATGAATTGCAATGTAGTAGCAGATTAAAAATACAGAGAAATAGTTGACTTAAGAAAAAATGGTTCGGGATTTATAATATATAAAAGTCGTGAGACTTAGGACCTAGGAAAAAACAAAGAGTAAACGTATCTGTCCCGATCGAAGCTGCTACCTTGACGCGGTGGTCGGGCTTGCCTATCGTGATGACCCAACCGAGCTATATTGGCTGGAACATATGTTCCTGTAGGTTCTACCATGCCAGGCAGGTCGATTGGAGAACGGTAAGACTAAAAGCAGCAACTCAAGGTCTGAGGGCGAAGTCGTACTGCTGACTGTAGAGAGGTGTGACAGCAGTAAGGTGTTTCCCTCGGACAACCAGCATGACAGCGATGCTGCCTTCCCACAAGGAGGGGTGGGGTTAGAAAAGGTCGACCCTAAAAATGTCACACCTCACCTTACCTCACGGATTTCCGTCTCCGGCGGTAAGGCCCTTTGAAGAACGGAGCTAACACGTCAAAAACCTTCCACAAAAAGGCCGTGCGCGACCGGCCTCAAGCAGTTGTCCCTTGGGCTCTGCGGTCACGCTCCCAGGTCGTCAAGACCAACACTAATCCAATTTCCTTTTCAGGTTCCTCAAGAAATACCCTTCCACGGTGTGGGCAGCCGGGAAGTGACATCAGCCCTCATACCCGTAACAGCACAAGAGACCAAGGTGGTCACATTCAAATCCTTCCTACACCTCCTAATACCTCTCTTATCTCCATGACTAACCCTCCTCACGTCTCTTTATCACCTCGCACCGCTAGGGCAAACGATTCGAGTACGTGGAACGCCATTCCTGGTCTCCTGAAACCACGCTCTAAACTACACGTAGGAGCTTTTAACGTACGAACACTTTGCCAAATAGGACAGCAGGCTTCCTTAGCTAAAACTTTAGAATCTCGCGCCATCGATGTGTGCTGCGTCTCCGAAACGCGCATACAGGATCCAAGTAGCGTCATTCATTTGACCTCACCATGCCAAAATAAAGAACCGACTCGATTTACGCTTCGTGTATCTGGAAGCCCTGATTCTGCTTCCCGTGGCCTCGCCGG